AATAAGCAATTAATGTAGAAATCCGTTAGGCCTAATCATCAAGAAAAATCAAATCGATTCCACTAAAATAGAGACAAACCAAAATTCAAATTCCAGAAAATCTAGGACAAATTAATCTCCAACCAAACTTTACATGGATCATTGATACGAATGACACGACATTGCTCTTCAGAACAAAACTTCGACAAAATTAGAAGCTATAGACCGAAAGATTTCTAGACAAACGAAGAATGCCATCAATCGAAGAGGCTGAAGCCCATATCTGCGTCACAAATGGACGGGGAGGAGTGGACGGGGAGAAAACGAAAATCAATAAACAATTATAAGGATACATATACCAATCAATAAACCAGATTGCAACATATGTACATGCTTCTCCGTTTGGAATCAACAACGGAAAAGCAATCCGTAACATAAAAATTCAGATGTTATATTTGATATTTATATAATCATTACTCAACAACTATTAGAATTAAATTTTGAGAACTTGTCATATGACAATTTAAAAATTACTTTTTCTACACGACCGGTGCTCTGAAAAGTTAAGACGATGAATAGCAAAAATTCATTTCTAGGACAAGGAAGAATATTCGGCAAAAAAACTTACTTCGTCAGATTCCTCTTTCTCCTCCACCTTTTCCTCTTTCTTTGCCTCAGCAGCAGCAGGAGCGGCGGCGGCACCACCAGCCCCAGGGCGCAGCAGCCACTGCAACTGCAGCTCCACCGCCACAAGGTACTGAGGCCAGCTTGTCCCTGCCTCGAGCAACAACCTCCGTTATATCTTTACCCTCCAATTCAGACAAGAGGAACTCAATTCTCTCATCATCCGCTTCTGCTCCAACTGCACATTGAAATTGAATGAGCTCCATGTCGGTAGTGTGTAGAATGTCAATCTAATTTCTCAAGTACTTGAAAATCTGTTTATAAACAATATTTAAGCATATCCAAGAAAATGGCAGTCTTCCACGACATTTAAAACTAGGACGACGTTAAATATGCTTCAAAACTTTTATATTTTTTGTGGACAAAGATCTAAATGTTACTCCAGGAAACTACGTCAAAAATGAGAGTAATAATCAAAGCAAAAGAAAAACAAAATTAGCGCGCTCGTAGTTCGGTTTCATCATCAACAAACCCCAAGATACTATGCAGGCTAAACGATTCTACCAAATAATATCAGTAATAACTTCACAAAGATTCCGCCCCATAGTACAAGTAAACAATTCTCTCTTGCAGCTGATACTCCTATCTTGTCGACAAATAAGAAATAAGGAAAAACAAAAACTCAACGATTCAAATTGAAAAGAATAAGGTACCAGAGCCGAGGATTCTTTTGACATCACCAGCAGAAGGGCTAGTGTTTACCTCCCAACACGGCGAGCAAATACGCAGCGATCACCTTCATATTCTGCCAAATTTATCCGAGCAAGCAATCAACATCAGCAAAACAATTTGCCCAAATTCTTAAGAAAACAGAGGTACCAGATGCCGGCCATCACCTAAGAATATGGAGATCCGGCACAGGGGTGATTACAAGCGAACGAGCGGCGAATTCCGATGCAGACAGGCGAACGAAGAGGAACAAATAGTGCTAGGGTTTCTTTACTTTTGGACACACCCCAATTCTACACCCAACTTCGCAGGCCCAGATGTTAATGGGCCTGGCTGATTGCAAACGTTTTATTTTTTAACGTAGTTCGAATAAAACTGTTAAGTGTTAGTCACGAATTCACAATATTGAAAGATGGCATAAACATGTACTAGCTAGATTCCAAAGATATTTTTCCCATCCTGAAAAGTAGAATCTAATCTGATGATTTAAATATGATCCACGACATGATATTACTACTTTTTTGAAGAAAATCATAATAAAAATTTCCTTTTTGTTGCGAACTATCATCGGATTTTGCTATCTGAAATCCGATTTCAGTGCCGTTCACATATGAAGAGAATCAATCAATGAACAAACAAAAAACAAAAAACAAAAATAGTTTTCCAAATCTGTGTGGATTATATATAATAATAATAATGCCCGGTTAACCGCGGCAGTATGTTCTGATATAAATAAGTTATAGGTAATCATTATGCTCAATTTAATTCATTTTAATGGACCACAAAAAGTGTTCCATATTACAGACACACACGCACACGCACACACATACAAAAGAAAGTGTAACCCCAAGTAGTGAAAAGACAAAAAGTATGTTTTTTTTTCTTAAAAAAAGTGTTTTTTTATTTAGGGTGCACACCTTAAAATTTAAATATTTTGAAAATAATTAAAAAAAAAAAGCCAATACGGTGTTTGAATTGATTATTATTGGACTTGTAACAACGCGGTTAAAATTTCAGCATTCATTAAATCTTATCACTCGAATGTTGTGAAGTAAAGATAATAATAAATTTTTGCCGAAAAGGAAGATAACAATTAAACAGAATTTTCACTAGATTAGTCATTAATTTTCGTGTTTCCTTGTATATGTTCATTACGTCATAATCGGAAAAATTAATTTACCGTAAATGGCAGGCTCAAATGCTTTCCGATATTATCCTAGTCGCTGTCCATCTAAGATTTTTTTATGAAACTATCTAGCCTTTCATAAAGGTGGGATATCATGCTTACCTTTAATTCTTCAGCCAGAAAACATGGAAACATTATCTTCCACGTATTATTTTTAATAAAAAACCTGCGGGTGTGAATCATGCTGGAGGGGGTTGGTTACACTTGGGGCAAGACGTAAATTGTCAGAATAATAATTTTAATCTGGTTTTATAAATTTCGAAGTTGGGTGAATTTTATGAAGACGTGCGACACGTGAGTCTGTGTCTAATAATAAAAGCAACATGCACGGCAGAAATTCGTGTGTCCTTTGCCTTTTTATTATATTATTATTATTATTAAAAGGAGTGGGGCTTTTGGAGGACTTGACGTTATGGATTCGTCGTTTCTAACGAGTCGCCCATCCCTGAAATAGTTGGTCTCTTAAAGATGAAGCATGTGAGTGCGAGTGAAAATGGAGTACAATTATCAACCTCATGTGAGTTAGAAGGATATTATTATTTAGTCTTCTAGAGGTGAGCATAGTAACGCCGCTAATAAGAAAATGGATCGATGGTGTGTGCTAGATCATAGTCTTTTTCAAGATCTTGTGCATGGGCATGACTCCCACCTTCAAATGAATGGGATAATTATAGTATAGTATCAACTATAAAAAGTTTTTTTTAATCTTCACAATTCTCATCATTCTATCAAAAACACCGCCAAAAAATGTGTATTTGCCGTGGTTAAAAAGAAAAATTATACGATTAG